AGCTCCATGAGGCCAGAGACCTTGCCTATTTTGATCATTTATATTTCCCAGCACTAGAAATGTACATGTCATTAATGTGTTGCATGGTTGAATGTGAATAGCTATCTAGAAATTACCCCAGTATTTATGTTCTAGGAAAAATTTAGATGAATCAAGATATATTTTGGAGGTGGGAGGAGTTGGTGATTGATTGGATGTGGGGGGTGAAGGAGGGGTGATATCAAAGATGATTCCCTGGATTTTGGCAGGAACATATGGGTGGGTGGAGATGTCATTTACTGAGAAGAGGAAGACCAAGTAAGCAGGTTTGTAGGGAAAGCAGAGTTCAGTTTTCAACATCTAAAGTTTGAGATGCCTGTGAACATTCAAGTGGGGATGTCAAATAGGCAGTTGGATATGTAGGTCTGGAGTGAGAGCAGTGTATTTCCTTATTATTTGATTCTTTTTTCTTTTTTAAAGAGATGGGGGTCTCACTCTATTGCCCAGGCTGGGCTTGAACTACTGGGTTCAAGGGAATCTCCTCCCTCAGCCTTCTGAGTAGCTGGGACTACAGGCATGTGATCAGCTTTGTCTGAATTCTTTTAGCTAGGTTTTAAAAAACCATATCTAAAAGCAAACTATTGACATTCTCATGAGTAAGCAGAACTGACTACAGTATTACACTTTACTGCTGAAGTAAAACCTGACTTTTCAGAGTTAATAGGGCTTTTATTTATTGAATAAAGTGAAGCTTCCTGATAACCAAGGGAGATGACAGAGAATGTTCACTGCATGGGCAATTGGTCACTTCACGTAAAATCACAAACTAACTCTCCAACAAAACGCTTAAATCCCACTGAAGGTGTTCTGCAAATAGGTCCAGATAGGTTATAGGCTGTTTAACATGGTTGTAGAAGCAGCTCAAGTATGTGTACCTTGTATTAAAAAATGGGTTCTTCGGCTGTTTCTTCCACATTGTTTATTCCAGGTTGCCAACTGGCATACATATCCTACTAATACTTTAAAAATTTGAACATAGGGAAACCTCCTGCTGCGTTTGTAGAGTGCATCTAGCAGATGAAAACTGCGATTTCCTTGGCTTAGGTGTACGCATCTTGTTCTAGGTAAAAGTGATTCCAGTTTAATTCTCAAATGGACTTCATTTTTGGCCTTTTATAAGAACTCTAGTTTTTGCTGCAGAGAATGGTTGCTTTACGAAGGCTAAATTCAATGATGATCTAGCATTTTAGTGTGTTATCTGAAACACACTGGGAACCTCCTGAAGCAGTGGAACAGTTCATGCCCTGTACATTGACAGGGGATATTGCTTCCTTCTAGCATTTGGGGCAAGTCCAATACAGCATCTCCAGCCACTTAAACAATTAATTGTTACCTATGAATGTGTTAATCAACAGTTTTATTTAATTCTCAAGAAATTTCATACATCAATCAGCAAGTCATTTGAAGAAGCATTTTTTTTTTTGTTTTCTGTTTTTGACACAGGCTCTTGCTCTGTCGTCCTGGCTGGAGTGAAGTGGCATGATCACACTGCTCACTGCAGCCTTGAATTTTGGACTCAAGCAATCTTCCCACCTCAGCCTCCTGAGCAGCTGGAACCACAGGCTCAGGCCACCACACCTAGGTAATTTTTTTTTTTGAGACAAAGTTTCACTCTGTTGCACAGCTGGAGTGCAGTGGTGCAATCTCGGTTCACTGCAACCTCTGCCTCCTGGGTTCGTGCAATTTTCCTGCCTCAGCCTCCCCAGTAGCCGGGATTACAGGTGTGCGCCACCATGCCCAGCTAATTTTTGTATCTTCAGTAGAGATGCGGTTTCACCACATTGCCCAGGCTGATCTCGAACTCCTGGCCTCAAGTGATCCACCCACCTCGGATTCTCAAAGTGTTGGGATTACAGGCGTGAGCCACCACACCCGGCAACAGAAACGGGTTAAACACAACCCAACACACCCCTGTGTGGGCAGGAACTGACTTTTAAAATTTTTTGTAGAGACAGGTTTTGCTATGTTGCCCAGGCTGGTCTCAAATTTCTGGGCTCAAGCAATCCTCCCTCCTTGACCTACCAAAGTGTTGGGATTGTAGGCATGAGCCACAGCACCTGGCCAAAAGCGGTTTTTTTTTTTTTTTTTTTTTAATGCCAGAGATGAAATGAGATGGTGTGGAGACTTTCAAGTCCCTGGAAGAACACCTAGTGTGCTTGAAAGCCCCTTAGCCTAGCAAGTTGGACATACCTAGTATTTTGTCATTCAATAATTCAACTGGCAATTATATAGTGTGGATATATTGCTGCTGCTGTGTGTGTGTGTGTGTGTGTGTGTGAGAGACAGTGTGTTAGGGAGGGAGGGATACATAGAAGACACTCTGTTTTTTAAGAACTCATGGTCTAGTAGAAAACAATTAAGAATAACAGAGGTAAAGATAAAGGGCTGTGAAAAGAGATGATTAATTCTACCTCAGGAAGCCTGGGAAGACTTCACATAAACAGTAACAATTGTTTTTGAGACAGGGTCTCACTCTGCCTTTTTCTCACTGCAGCCTCCACCTTCCAGGTTCAAGTGATCCTCCCACTTCGGCCTCCGGAGTAGCTGGAACAACAGGAACCACCACGCCAGGCTAATTTTCTGAGTTTTTGTAGAGGCAAGGTCTCACCGTGTTGCCCAGGCTGATCTCCAACTCCTGGAGGCAAGCAATCCTTCCGACTTGGCCTCTCAAAGTGCTGGATTACCGGCGTGAGTCACTACGTCTGCCAGAAGTTAAGTGAGTTCCAACAGGAATATAGCGTAGATGCAGGTGCACATCCTGGATGTAGAAATCTTGGCCATAATACGAAGAGCTATCGGTGATATAGACATCATACATCCTCATTAAAGCATATAGTAAAGTTGTTAGTTGATTTAAAATTTTAAAGTTGATTTAAAATCATTCCTAGGTTGTCTGGAATTTTTGACATAAATTCTAAGAATTCCAGAAGCTCCTAAGCTACATGGGAAATCAAGATGAACCTTTTGGAAAAGTCACTACTACCAAAAGGTGGGTATGTCTAATGATATCTTAAGATCAAAATAAATGATAATTACCCTTGCCTGAAGCCAGAAAGATTAAACAGACTTCCCTTCAGTCAATCATCTTAGTTGTTTCTAACCAGGAATATACGTTTCAGCACCATACCCACTTTATCCTTTGCTAATATTCTGGCAGGTGGAGACAAATGTGGAGTCACTACCACTTTAAGATAAACATTCTTGGTATTATCTTTACATGACTATTACAGGAGTTTGGTAAGTTATATTTTTAGGACGTTTTCAGAATTTGACCTGTATTCTTAAGTTTTAATTATTCTTTAATGTAAATTCTACTAATTTGATTAAGAAACCTTATTTATAATCTTCCTTTAAGATTTTTGGATAGTGCCCAATTAATACAAATTCGTTTAACTACAGTGGAAAAACAAATATTTAATTTTTTTTTTTTTTGAGACGGAGTCTCGCTCTGTTGCCCAGGCTGGAGTGCAATGGTGCGATCTCCACTCACGGCAAGCTCCGTCTCCCAGCTTCCAGCCATTCTCCTGCCTCAGCCTCCTGAGTACCTGGGATTACAGGCACCCGCCACCACGCCCGGCTAATTTTTGTAATTTTAGTAGAGACGTGGGTTTCACCATGTTGGTCAGGCTTGTCTCGAACTCCTGACCTCATGATCCGCCCGCCTCGGCCTCCCAAAGTGCTGCGATTATGGCCGTGAACCATCGCGCCCGGCCCAAATACTTAAACTCTTAAGGTTTTTGCTGGATTCTGCAAACTCGTCTTTGTCTCCCCTGTGCCCGAACACTTACTAAACAGGCAAATAATTATTTGTTGACTACCGAAGTACCTAAAAGCTTCATTTTCTTCTAAGGATACCGCTGGAAGCAGCAAATCCCAAAGCCCGAATAATCCAGTCTCCAGCCGCGGCATCGGGAATTTTTAATAGGTGTACAAAATTACTTTTTATACACCTTAGTGAAACGCCTAACGGTGTTACAAGAAAACAAAACAAAACAACCACACACAACAAAAAAACCCAAACCCGAACACAAACTCATAAAGCTCGTAAAGATGACTCACGACATTGATATATCCTATGTAGGACTAAAGAACATTAAGCGAACCCTTGATTTAACACACTTTCCAATTGACGTAAAGGAATCACGGTACCTTTTAGGATCTTTAAACAACAAAAGCAAAGCAAAAACGATGTTTTCCTTAAGATATGCAAGTTACCTGCTTCTTCGACCAAAAAAAAAAAAAAAAAAAAAAATTCAGGAGAAAAGCAGGCAAACAAAAATCTTACTTGGAAAGTCAAATCTTAAAAAGAAGCCCTATCGGCCCAGCGGCGATAGACGAAAACCTCAATGTCACCCGGTCCCGGGCGGCGACGGCAGGAAGAGGAGTTGCAGCAATCAGTGCGCGCGCGGTCCGCTGCGGCGCCTGGCGCTCCGCAGGCGTCCGGGTGGACAGAGCCAGGGGCACAGGGCTGACATCTCAGGGCTAATTCCCTCCTCGAGTGCGTACATCCAGGCTTAAGCCGCCGCAGGGTGTGAGCCTCCCCTCCCCCACCTGAACGCCGCAGCTGAACGGGGAACTGCCGCCTTCGCGGAGGTGCAGCCACACCCCGGCCTGATGCTGCTGCTCCCGCCTGCTACTGGAGTGTTGGGGAGGGGTGTGCGGACTCCAGGAATCCTCGGAAGGGCGGGGGCGGAGGCAGGGGGCCCCTCTAGCCGCTACTTCGAAACAGCACTCCTTGTTCTCGATGGTCCCCGCGCGACCGTCTTAGCTCACGACACTTCCGGTTCCTTTTAAAGGCCCCCACAGGCTGTGCGACGCCGAGCGTGAGAGGAAGGTATAAAGGGGAGCGAGAGGGCGGTACCGAAGAGGAAAGGGAAAAAAAAAACCTAGGGGGAGAGGGGTGGGGGGGACGCGCGAAGGGCGCGCTCTTGCATCACGTGACCGGGACGCGCCGTTCTTCCGTCGGCCATTTTAGGTGGTCCGCGGCGGCGCCATTAAAGCGAGGAGGAGGCAAGAGCGGCCGCCGCTGGTGCTTATTCTTTTTTAGTGCAGCGGGAGAGAGCGGGAGTGTGCGCCGCGCGAGAGTGGGAGGCGAAGGGGGCAGGCCAGGGAGAGGCGCAGGAGCCTTTGCAGCCACGCGCGCGCCTTCCCTGTCTTGTGTGCTTCGCGAGGTAGAGCGGGCGCGCGGCAGCGGCGGGGATTACTTTGCTGCTAGTTTCGGTTCGCGGCAGCGGCGGGTGTAGTCTCGGCGGCAGCGGCGGAGACACTAGCACTATGTCGGAGGAGCAGTTCGGCGGGGACGGGGCAGCGGCGGCGGCAACGGCGGCGGTAGGCGGCTCGGCGGGCGAGCAGGAGGGAGCCATGGTGGCGGCGACACAGGGGGCAGCGGCGGCGGCGGGAAGCGGAGCCGGGACCGGGGGCGGAACCGCGTCTGGAGGCACCGAAGGGGGCAGCGCCGAGTCGGAGGGGGCGAAGATTGACGCCAGTAAGAACGAGGAGGATGAAGGGTGAGTAAGGGGCAGCCCAGGATAGTCAGGCCCAACTAGTCCCCCTCCCCCTCATTCCCCCGCCATTAGGCCTGGTTCCCGCTCTCAGCCCGTTCTCCGGGCCCCCATGTAGCCTTCTTGTTCTGGTGTCCCCTTTTCTATGTTGGGTTCCCCGGACCTTCATTTCCTCCTTCCTTTGCCTGCTTATCGCCCCCCTCCCCCATCACACACGTTTCCACCTTTAGCCGTCACCATGCTGCTCCTCGGCCCGCCCTCCTTTCCTCCCTCGCCATGGGTCTCCTCCCACCGACTTAGCCGCCAGGATTTTTTCCCGCCTGTCGAGGGGTACCTTTTTTTCTTTCCATGCTGTCCCCTCTTTTTCCCAAATTCTAAAGTCTTGGGCATAAAAACGCAGAGAGACACAAAAAGCTTCCCTGTTTGTATTGCTAAGGTTTATTTGGTGCTTCTCCACCATCCTGAAACGATGCGATTGTTTATAAGCGCATGTTTTGGGGAACGCGTAGGCTGTCCACTTCTGCCTCTCCCTTGTCGGCCTCAGACCGAATGTTTTCTTGGGATTTTGAATAAGTTTGCCTAAGGACTTACTCATTTTCTTCACCATACGCTATCGCACAATGGCATGTTCATTTAGGCCCTATATTTTGACGTGCAGACCAAATGAGCTCCGGTGAAATGCTGCGACTTTCTTGTTGGTACGTTGGTTTTGCTCCGCGGGCTCAGGTTAAGTTCCTAGTCGATGGGGCCTGCACTTGACTGGAGCTGTTCCTATCTCCGGCCTAGTGTCTACCCTTCCCCCACCCCCCTGAGTTATTCTAACCGCGCACCCTTTTCGCGCCCTCAGCTATTGGGTTCCCCAACTATTAGTACAGATTGTAACTTACTTTTTATGTGCAACCTAATTTTTTACAACCTCCGGTCCCCTTTTTTTCCCGGTGCCCAGGATCCTATTCTGGTGTCTTGATTTCTCTTTCCCGCCCACTAAGGGAGGCCTATAGTCCTCAAGAGAAACAAATCCTGTATTGTGCTGTGGGATACTTTTTTTTTTTTGGTGCAAATTTCTTAGTATTAACTTGCTTCCTCTGATTGAAATAACAGTTGTATATACTACCTAAATCTGCATTTAGTGTATTAAAATGCAGCATTTGGGATTGGGAACATAATACGGGAGTTAGCAGGAGGGACTAAATCGGGGTTCTTGGTTGAGTTTTCTTAGCTCCGATTACTGAGTGATGATCGTGGGTTCACGCTTCCATTCCTTTTTGTAATGGGGAGGGGTGTGTGTGTGTCTGAATTTTTTTTTAAACTGTAAAGAGAAAGATGTTGATGGATAGAACAGTAAGATGTCGCTTTAACCCAGTGTTAGAAAACACGATTCCCTTTCCTGAGAAAGAGCCCAGGATTTGGAGGGAGAGTGGGGAGGGGAGAAGCACTTTGGAATATAGGGTTAAACCCAGCCTAGGCAGATTCTTGTCAGGCTGTTTGATGATAGTGCTGGTTTTGGGGGAGTGGTGGTGGGAAGGGAAACAAACTTTTAAAAATTAAACAGATCTAACTCGAATTGTATATAGCTTATTTGAGAAAGGAAGATGTTAGATATTTGGAAACTTAAAATCTTTAACATTTTGGTTTTCGTTTGCTGAATTCTGTTCTTTGGACAGAGGCACCAAAATGATTAATTGTATAACTTCCTGTTTGGGGCAGGCTTTCTGTTAGCCCTGATAATTCAAATCGCAAAGCAGCTGACTTTATAGTTACCTACTGTTGAACTGAAGTGTAAATGAATTAAAGTTTTTAACCCTAACAGTGTCAAAAACTAAAACTAGAATTTTGATTGGTTGCTGTACCGGTTGTTAATTCCCTAGCCATTCAAACTCCTCCCCACGACACTCTGAAGCAGCGACGGCACAGCGGGAAGAATGGTAAAACTTTTAAATTTTATTTCTGTATTATAAAGGTTTCAGTAGTCATAATATGCAGAGGCTGTGTATTGGTTAGTTGCCCATTGATCCCCAGGAAATTCTAGACCATAGTACATACAGTAGGCTTGTACCTGGGATATATACTTTTTTAGGCATCATGTGTAATCTTTGGGCAAAACTGATGCCGTTACATGGTATTTGGTCTGTGGTAATGCATGTAGTTGCAGTTTGGCAATTCAAGCTAAACAATTAGTAACGATATTTTTATATCGAGCAAGAAAAAATATTACTGTAATCTTCGCATTTGATTTAAGATGAAAAATATTTTTGTTGGAATTCTAAGTTTAATGGCTAAATATGAAGACTACTTGAAATAAAATGTTGTGTTTAAAATGTCATGCATGTTATACTGAAATATTCTGGAGATGTCTGAAGCAGTTCTTTAAGCAGCACTGTGTATTATGGAAAAATGTTTGTCTTTTACCTACCATATTTGTAAATAGACTTTTCATAAGAATTGTGTGTGTGTGTGTGTGTATATATATATATACCATTCAAAGGTGGGCTAATGTGGCTTTCCACTACAGCTCTTACCAGATTTTTTGTTTTCAGTGTGATTTGGCTGGAATATTAATAACAGTTGGTTGACATGTATTCACAATTGCATGACTTCTCTTTGGAGGCTGGTAGGTTGAGTATTGTTCTTTTTATCCATCCTTTCCCTTCCCCTAAATGTCAGTCCTTCTGCCTTTAGGATTATATTTGAATTTTCAGGGGTTTATACACCACCACTGGAGAGTAGAAGGCCACTAACTTGCAGGCAGTTACCTTATATCTTTATAAGCTACATTCTATTTTAAGAGCCCATTTAGGGTAACATTTAAAGATTTGCTTATTATTGTAGTCTCATCCACTGAAATCAGTCCAGCTTTACGTTGGAGAAAAAGCAGATGGGAAACAGGCAAGGGGAAAAGCAAAAAAGAGAAAACAAAAGACTGGGGTCACAGTTTCGATGAATGTTATTCCCTATATTTGGTGAGTGGTGGGCACTAACAGCCCGATTTCACTGCTAGCTAAGAGTAGCAAATTAAGATTAAACTATAACTGTGTTTGACATTACTCCATTATATACATTGAATCTCATGTAATTGTTTCCAGTAATTTGAAATGATCATAAACTTAAATTTGAAGGTCAGTGTTTTGACTCTTTCAAGTAATTACACTTGTCCTGCTACCTAAAATGTTGTAGTATTACAACTTTTTTGAATAATCTCAGGAAAAATGGAGAAATGTTTATATTCATAGTTAATAAACATTTTAGATAGTGACCAGCTGTCGTTTACTGAAGATAAAATTGGTGTAGAATTTTATTACCCAGGTTGATTTTATTTTTGAGCCGGAGTTTTGCTCTTGTTGCCCAGGCTGGAGTGCAATGGTGTGATGTCTGCTCACCGCAACCTCTGCCTCCCGGGTTCAAGCAATTCTCCTGCCTCAGCGTCCCAAGTAGTTGGGATTACAGACATATTCCACCACGCCCGGCTAATTTTGTATTTTTAGTAGAGACAGGGTTTCTTCATGTTGGTCAGGCTGGTCTTGAACTCCTGACCTCAGGTGATCCGCCCGCCTCGGCCTCCCAAGTGCTGTAATCACAGGCCTGAGCCACTGCACCCGGCCTACCCAGGTTGATTTTAGAATTACACTTAAAAATAATGTAGTTCTTATTTTTAAGGGATCTAATACTTGATTTTTCTTAACTGCGCAATTATGCAGCCCCATCGTATTCCAGATATTAAGGCTTTCTTTTTTAATGAAAAACTTTCAGACTCTTTTTTTTTTTTTGGGTGTCTGCGCTTGCCACCATATCTGTCCCTTTCTCTTTCTCCCATTTTGAGGGATATTAAAAGGGCAACAGTTTTATAGTCTTAATATTGAGGATAAGACTGGTTAATACAGTATCCAAATTGAATTTCTTAAACACGGTTCTGTGTGCATTTCCTTCTACAAGTCTGAGAATAAAGTGATTACGGTTTCATCCTAAAATACTTTAAAAATCAGTTGGTTTTAGAAATAGGTTTTTTTCCTTTTGCATGTAAGAATGGACAGCTATTTTTAGGAAAGCATGCCTGTTACACCTTTAGTGGATGTTTCTACAGTTTACTATGGGACTTTAGAATCAGTAATTATTTCCATAGTATGCCCTCCTGAGTTCACTTTGATTTACTCTTTCCAACATTAACGTCAGTAGTTTTTACTTACAAGCATTGAAATTTCTCATTTTACTTTGTGGTGTGGACCCATTCTGTTCTCTGCAGTGCTGCAGTTCATTTGGGGTAGGTACTTTAAAATTACTTAGTGTCTGGCAAAATATACATGCCATGTAGCAAGCTATCTGAGGGCAGAGTTTTTAAAATTTAAAAATCAATGGAAACTACAATGTTGCGTTAACTTTGAGATAGTTTTACAAGGTAGGTACATAGACTTTCCTGCGTTGGATTGGGTAGGAAGCAAAAAAGTCCCCCCATTCACTTATCAGCTAAAAGTCCAGCAATACTTCTTTAATAACAGGACAGTAGATCTGGTCCTATTAACGGTTAGTGTATAATGAGCCCAAGTGTGATTCTTCCCATTTGGGAATTTTGTGAATCCTGCGGTAGGTTGTCGCCTGTCTAATTATAAAAGACTAGGCTCTTGTTTTTGCTTTAAATGTTTGAAATTATGGTCTTATACCTTAGGCTTCTGGGGCAATCTGAACATTGTTTGGTTTGTAAAATAATCGCTTTTAGAGTAGTCTCATGCCAAATTTACTGGTCTTTGATTCAGTAGAGTTGGGTTTACTGTATGTAGTAAAGTTGAGACCCTGAGTAGATTGATCTCAGTGTTAGCATTCTTGGGAGCCTTTGACAAATTTCCTGAGTTAAAAATTCCAGAAATTGATGCCCCCAGATCTTTAGATGAACGTTTAGGGGAGGAGTATTAAGTACTTTTCATTGTAAATTTTCATCTATCATGAAAGATACTAAATCATCTGCTTTTTTAAGTTTGGGATTGGAGAATGTCATTAAAGTTTTTCAGTGGTAGTTTTTGAGATCACATACTTTGCCTTAAATCTGGGTTTTTTTCCCCTTAAGCCATGTGACCCCTTCTACAAACTCAGTGTATGTTTTTAATATTTCCTGGGTACTCTGCCATCGTCCTAACACATAATATTAGGGTAAGGCTGCCCTAATACGAGAACATTTTGAGTGTACTATTTCGGTGTGTGATTTATGGCCAACATGAAGGATGTGATTAGTTTTAGCCTTCAAGTGATAATACATGCCATGCTTGAAAAGCATTTAAAAAGGAATAGAGTAATAACTTTTTTTTTCCATTCCACTTGAAGCTGTGTACCTCAAGTGTGTGCACATTTACAAATGGAGTGAAACATAACTTGTGTTAGTCCAAGCTTGATTTGACTTCAGTTCTGCTTCAACGTTTTAGTAGATAGGGCACTGAACTGGATGCTGAAAGCGTGGGATCTCTTTCTGTTGCTTCACTTCCAACAGTATGGTTTCAGGTAATACAACATGTTTGTTACTTGGTTTGCTGATCTATGTGTTGGAAACAATGCTCACCACAGGAAGATTGACTCCATAGCCTGCTTTCATAGCTTGTGTGTATTTATCCAGTGCCCTAATAGTTGATACTGCCAGTGATTTACTCCTGTGGAGTAAAGGTAAGCATGTTTTAGTTTCTGGAGTATTATATTGTACGTTGGAGCTAGGTATTTAAGAATATTTGGGGGTGGGGAGGGAAGACTCCTATTTACTGGTGGTGTTTGTCCAGTAATCAAGGTGACAGTTTAAGTATTGGGTCTTGGACTGTAAACTCCTGCTTATCTAGACTTCAGACTAGCACAGAGCCCACACAGCCAGGAAGTCTGTCTCCCCATTTAGTCTTATGAGTAAGATAGATGAAGCCATGAGAAAATATACTCAAAAAGCAACCAACAGACAATGTCATGGAATGAATCTCCTACAGATTTTTCCTTACGCTTTTGAAAAGTAACATGATTTTAAAACATAAAATTCTAAAAATTCACCAAGGTCCAAATCATTTTCTGACTTCAGCATTGATACCTAAATTGACTTCCAATACACAATTTTATAGAATTGTGAATATGTAGTAATCTCAGTTAACCAGAACCTTAACCTTCAGGTTAAGGAAAATATTTATTCCTTAACCTCTAGGTAAATGGGAGTTTACCTTACAAAGCTGATTGAGAGCTTATTTAAAATGTAAACATACAAGATGTCATTGCTTCCTTGTAGTGAAGTGAAAAAAGGGAGATGTTGGAGTAAGCATTTAAAGTTAATTAGTGACTCGTGCCTGTAATCACTGGCTACTCAGAAGTCTTGAGATGTGAGGATCATTTCATGCCAGGATTTCTAGACCAGCTAGGTAACATAGTATGACCCGTTTCTTTTAAAAAAAAAAATTAATGTGTTGGGGGTGTGCTTTGTAGTTCCAGCTACCTAGGAGACAGAGGCAGGAGAATCTTTTGAGCCCAGGAAGGAGCTCAGGGCTGCAGGAAGCTATAGGGGAGCCACTGCATTCTGATAGTGAGACCTGGTCTCTTAAAAAAAAAAGTGTTTATTTTTAGGCCAGGCGTGGTGGCTCACACCTGTAATCTCAGCACTTTGGGAGGCCAAAATGGGTGGATCACCTGAGGTCAGGAGTTGGAGAACAGCCTAGCCAACATGGCAAAACCCCTCTCTACTAAAAATACAAAAATCAGCCAGGCGTGTGGTTACACGCGCCTGTAGTCACTCAGGAGGCGAAGGCGGGAGAATCACTTGAACCCTGGAGGCAGAGGTTGCAGTGAGACAAGGTTGTACCACTGCATTCCAGCCTGGGCGACAGAGCAAGACTCTGTCTCAAAGAAAGAAAAATAAGTTTATTTAAAAAACTGTCTTGTTGGCCGGGCGCGGTGGCTTATGCCTGTCGTTCCAGCACTTCGG